GTACTTACCATAGTAACAAACGGAACATTATAATATTTTCCTTGAATATCAATATCGAAATAATATAATACCGTTCACGCGTCTACCATGTATTATTCATTTTAAACCACTGTCGACAAATTTTATTTTCAAAAAATAAATTCTCGATCCCTACCCGATTTAATTAAAAAAATACATATTATTTTTTTATTTTTAATAATTTACATTACATTTTAGGGAGATAATATATTATATTTATTTAACAAAACTATAAGGTTATTATATTTCAACGAACCAGTACATTTAATAGACTACTGGTAGTTATTATCTGTATATTCTGATTTAAATAAAACACACGGTTAGTGATACACAGTTACATTATTTCAAAAACGAATAAGTTTTAAGCATGATTCTGAAAAAAGACATCTGAAAAATCCGCTTCATTAATACTCGTTTCGTCAGAATTCAGATTATAAAAAGCAACTATGCTAGATTTTGGTAGTTGATAAATTTTTTTTAATCGTATTTTTAAATTTATCATATTCTTTAAATCTAATTTTAATTCCATTTTCGAATCACATTATTTAAAGGCAACCCTCTTGTTAACATATTAATACGAGTACATACGGATAAAACAACGGGTTTAAAACCTAATTATTTATAGAACTTAAATAACATATTTTAATAATAAAATTAATAACGCACATATAAACGGCATCTAGTAAATACTACTATCAGTACTCTATAATAACTATACTAATTATATTATACGAATTGTATTTTGCATATAGGCGTGTAAAAGTTCGTAAAAAGTCAAAGAAAAAATGTGTTATGTTTGGTATTCATTAAGCTGCTAAAGTTTTTTTTTATTCTGCTCTTGACACCTTTCTCGTACGATAAGATTCATTCATTCATTTTACAACAGAAAATTTAATATGATTTCAAAAACGCTTAACGAACATTTATACACCTTAAAAGTAATACATACAATAGCTTATCAAGAAAAAAAGAGAAATGTGACTATGTGAATGAATAGTTTCGAATTGCGTTTCCCATATACGAAATTAATTTATTTTAATTGTTATTTTGAAAAGGGAATATGTCCAGAAATTCAAATTTTACAAGAGAGACAAAAAACTAACCTTGACAATAATGGTCGGATTTTTGAGAATTTAATGTGTATTTAAATATTTCAAAAGTAGTGTTTCATACAGCTGTACGAGAATTTTATCAAAATTCATAAAGTGATATAAAAGATAAAAATTAATGTGTTTCCTTTTCCAAATGAATTAGATTTTTTGCAATTGTGATTGATATGAAATATTTAATGGAAATCACTCACTAAAACAAAAAAATATATTCTTTGTAGTCAGAATATATTAAGAACTCATAGTAATCTTTTATTGACGAAAAAAAGATCTCGACAAAAAAAATACATTGTTTCACCATAATATTTACAAACGTCAAGTGCTTTATAGTTTATGATGTTTGACAAATTAAGACGAAATTGATGAGGTTTTGTAACTGAGAAATGTTCGCTGATAAATTCGTTGGTGTAGAGTAAATGAACAAAATACCATGTTCAGACGAATGAAATGAAAATAATCGGTGATTTTAAGTGTGACTTTTTGTGTTTTTGGTACTTTTAGTGCTTAAATTATTTTTTTAGATTCAATTTACTACTTTTTTTTTTTTTAAAAAAAGTTTTATGTATACATTTTTTATATAGAACCATGAAAACAAATATTCAAATGTATGTACATCTAAGAATACTGATCAAGTGTCGTGGTTGAAATTATTAAAATTATTCTCGTACTGTGCGTTGTTTCGTGTTCACGATTACGTTTTAAGTAAATAAATCTGTATATTCGACACTGCATTCTATAATATCAATTAATAAAAAAAATATTTGTTTATTTATTCCGTTTTATGGCGATAGTTATATTTTACACCGTACGTTAACACAATAATAGTTCAAAAATTGTTTGAAGTGTTGAAATAAACAAATATGTGCGCGTGCTGTCTGATCTATGTGTGCGTTACACTACGCGAATCACGTACGTTGTGCTAATAAAAAAAAAATCCAATCACGTATAAACCGTACACAAATTTTACCGGGTTTAGTAATAACTTTCTGTTCCATGGTACGCGGAACATCGTTTCGGGAAAACAAGAACGAGTGGAGTGATGACGTACAATTCAAAATGCATCCGTGACAACGCGTATTCCTGTCTGCCTATATGGTTATTATATTCGTATTCCAAATAAAATAATATTAATTTTTTTTATGTATATTTTTAACAAAAAAAAAAAAAAAAGAAAAGATGAAATAAAAACGAACGGAAACTTTTAGTATTGATTGTACCTCGTATACGTACACGTGATTCTTTCTGGTTCTATTCTGTTTACAAGGAAAATAGTGATTCCTCGTGACCGTACGGTTAATTTCCCTCGGGCAAAACGTATCACATCATGGTTTTGATACGAAATGCGATATCGTTCGATTAGCAAAACGTTAAAAGTGCACAATCCGTGCGAATAATTGAAAGAAGAAAGGGAAAAATAAGAAAAAATAACGATAAATTCACAAGGCTGCAAACAGCCGATATTCCGTGAAATTGAAACGTACGCTACGGACACGTAAGTTAAACATGTTACGATGTTAACGAATAATCGGTGATGCCGCGGTGGAAGCGTGATGGTACCGCGCGGGGAACGTAACCGCGGTATTAATTAGTCCGACAAATGTTCGGTGCGCGGACTCCGGGAAAATATTTATTTTTTTTTTATTTTTTACCCGTTCGATTAATGCGTTTTTAGTTTTCCAACACACCCCCACGCGTCTTCATCAACGGCCGCCGATAAAAATGTTTCATAATTTATGTACGTAATAAATAATGCATTTGGCGCGGGTAACTCTATTTATACGGTGTATAATGTACGTGTACGTATAGACGCGGATTGATAGCGATAAAGTTTGACAGATTAATTCATCTGCGTTTAGTTTTCTGTATATCACGCCCGGGCGGGCGATCGCGTTTTTATCCTTTCTGTAACCGCGATTGCTACGCTTTATAATTCCGTAACATTGCCGGTGTGAAAAACATGCCTATTTTGAGGACATATATTTAACGAATATTTAGGTAAACATATATTTATGATGTACAGCATGACCTATAACAGGAGTGGGCAACTGGTGAGCCCGCGAGCCTTTTTTATCCGGCTCGCGCTATATTTTCAAATTATATCATACAATTTTAAAGTGTATCGTCTATCGACGTAATAAATATTATCTGGTATTAAACTTCGTTAAAAGTCTAAATGTCATATGTAATACGTATACCAATAGTTTTCAACCATAGCTGTTTGTACCGAACTGTTCAACTTTATTAGTCTCTTCGTATCATTCATGTTGCGCTGTCGTGTGTGTTGAATTTATTATTTTCATGTATTTAATGCTAATTAATTTTTTTTTTTTAATCTGTACCGCTAGATTTTAATTTTCTTAAAATCGACTCACTAGTAACTTTGAGTTGCCTATTCCTGACATATAGGACGGAAAGACTAAGTAATCGTAAGCACAATGCGATTTAGTCTTATACATCGTGATTCAACAAATTTATTTTTCTATTGAACTGAACAAATATTTACCATTAGTTTAATATTAGTAAGTGTCCTATAGCAACACGAATTCGGTTAAAAACTATTAGGCACTTAGGGGTTCAGGTTAGTATAATATCGGTGACTTGAATTTTTCGCTTCGTACTATACATATATGCAGTGTTGGGAATAGATAATGTAAAATTTATCTAGATAAAGATGAAAGATAATATGTCCAAATTCATCTAGATAAAGATAAGAGATAATTTAATTTTTATCTAGATAAAAAAGAAGATATTTTCAAATGTTATTTTTTGGTCAATATAACAATATAATATAAAACAAACGAAATGGTTAAAGTATATAAGCCCACGGTATCCGCGAACGTCGGATAACGTTAAAAACAACGCCGGGGCCGTTTGGAACTCCGTTTCTCGCGTACGTGTGTAATACTATCATCAAACGTCCCGACGAACCGATAAATTTCTTTTTGTCGGCCTCCAGTTCGCATAAGAACATTAGGTTCGCCGTATCGAGACGTACTCGACATTATAACGTTGTACACCAAAGCCCGCCGTCGTGCGCTCATACATTTTGTGCTGCGTTTGCACTGTTCGTGCCTTTGAGTTTTCCAACAGACATCCCGTCGATGTACTTAACCCGCAACTCTTATACATTGTATAGTGCGACGTGTGCGCGTCGTGCTCGAGATCTAACGATATGCTACCTATGGGTACGTGAGTAGAAGATTGATAACTTTTATGCATAATAAAGCGCGTTAACGGTTTCAGCGGATGTCATTATTGGTGTTATGATGTGCACGCAGCACGATACGTCGCAATATTTTTACACATCTAATCATTGGCGTGTCTGGAAATTGGGGTTCAGAGAGTCGTAAAAACCACATGATCTCTGAAGCTTAAAAACCATAATAATGTAACGATTCGTATGTGGTATGTGTTTGTTAAACGTTAAAATAATAGAGAGAAAACATTAGATCTCCGTCTGTGTGTGTGTGTGTGAAAGAGAGAGAGAAGGAGTGTGTGAAAAGCTTATTTTAGCGCCTTATATTTTATGAACGGATGTATTTTCAAATCGATGGAACCAATGAGTTTGCCTATATGAGTACTGATATAGCATTTATGGATGCGAGGATCGTAGGTCGTACATATAGGCACATACATATTGGTGTTGACATCCCGTGGGACGGTCGAAAATAAAAAATACTTTGTGCACTAGTGTTTTATATACGTTTTACTCGTTATCATTTCGGTAACTACCACGAGCGATAACCGAATGCGTTGTACGTTACGTTGCACACACATAATGCGTACTGAATACGGTTTTAAATAATAAATTCTTTTTGTTCGAAAAGTTTTCGCACGCTCGTAAATGATTATGTTGTGTATGATATTTTTCAGCTAAAGCTGCCGGCGTCGGTTTAGCAGTCCTGGTCGTCCTGCTCATATCGTCAATAGCCTGTTACAGGTCAGTGTTGCCAAACAACGCGCGAACCCGCGCGATCTTACCTATACCAACCTATCATTGCACTGTTCGTACATGATTTCAGGATGCAAAAAAATAACAAGGCGGCCGCCGACATCGAGTACCCAGCGTATGGCATAACAGGGCCTAACAAAGACATCTCGCCCACGGGCGACCGGCGCCTGGCACAGTCCGCCCAGATGTACCATTATCAGCACCAGAAACAACAGATCATAGCTATGGAGAAGTAAGTGCGGCACCGACAAAAATAAGTTCATAATCCGTGTAATGATGAGCGTTCTCGAAAATTCTGCGGAGAAATAAATTAAACCGTTTGAGAAAGTTCAATTTTCATTATTTCCTTTTCTGTTTCCAACGTACATTCGCGAGGTAACGTTTAAACGTACAATACAACTGTTTAGTGTAATACAATATGATCGATAAGAAAACAATTACGATTTGGTCGCTAAACATAAATTCGATTTTTATTGTCAGCTATAAAAATAATTGTTCACGCTGAAACTTATAAAATACAACATGCTTGTTATGTACAGATATTATCATTGCCATTTTTTGCATAAACTGTAAAAGAGCTGCTTTACCAGGGTATAAATTGGAATCAATAAGGGAAACCTTAAAATTGACCAGCGCAAGTGTAATTATAATATTGTGCAAGAGTAGAATATAATTGCCATCAATCGATCAATGTATATTTTTATTCTAATGACGTTTTAAGAAAATTCTTTGTATAGCAATTATTATTGTTATGATTTGTAATAAATTAACTAACAAGACTTTTTAATCGGAATGAAAAACGCTCACAGGAAAATAATATATTAATAATAATATTTCCAAACCGTCAACTGCGCCAATGTTATCAGAAATTTCCGAGGCCAAGGGTACCCATTATTTTCGACGAGGAAAAAGAGCAGGATTTGACCTCGTTCTTGAATTGTCCGTGCATTTTAAATTATAATTACATTGTTTAATCAATTTTTTAATCCAAAATAATTTAAACATGTAAATGTATACATTTATAGAATTAGTTATTTTAAGCGAAATTCAACACGTTTATGTCTGTAAACATTCGGAAAAGGAAAGTCAATTATTTTTATATTTTTATAAGGCATCGGACCAACTGATTGATCATGGATGGGTTGCGTAGTTTTTTGAACTATAGCTTTTTGTATACGGATTTTTAAAATTACCAAAAAATGTGGGTTTAATTGACGCATTCAAAGCGCTTCAAACATCGTTCGGTTGTCTCTTTGTTTATCGTTACGAGTGAAAAAAAAGTGGTTATCAGTGAAAACTCGGTGACAGGTTATTGAAGAAAAAAAGACCGACAACAACAAAACGTAACGACCAACTCATTTATCGTCGAAAATGATTGATTTGACATTATTGTGGATCCTCTTTGGATTTCACTAAACCGGAGCACCCACACATGGCACATGCCGACCCGTGTTAGCGCTTTCGGGTTGACGTTATAAACAAATAGGTCGCACATAAAACGCATTGATTCAAATTCGATAATATACGTTTTTCAGTAATAGTTCGGTCAAAGAAAGCCGGTGCGGTTCAGTCAGCGACCCGGACAGTGACGACGACAACGAGGAAGGCGATTACACGGTTTACGAGTGTCCGGGATTAGCGCCCGTAAGTTGCACACGACGCTTTATTATATAGTTAATGTATTGATAGTAATCATCGAAGTGGAAACACGAAAATAAAGAATGTTCGTCCTTTCGACGGGGGTAAATTTGACGCGCGTCAAATGAACTCGGTGAATTCTACGCAAGGCAACTTAAACATTTTTCAACGCGTGCAATCCCGATGTATCGACATTTTGACGAATGACGGTTTAAAAGAATTGACGCGTTTTACGATACAAATGTATAATTATTCAATAAGAAAATACTTCCATGAAAGTTGTGTGTAATCGATACAAAACGATTTTGATGTATTTTTATCATGTATACTTTGATATTTATTTTTATTGCTATAAATTACTAATTTCATTAAATTTATCTTTAACACTGTTCGCAACATTTAGCGTTCAGCACTCATTTTAATAGACACAACACAAGATATTCTCTGAGTATTCGCTAAAACTTGAACATTACTATTCTTAATCATTGATTATATTTTTACAAAATTTAAAAATTTTATTTGTTGTCATTGGATAAATATAATAAAACATGTTGAATTGACATTCGCCAAAATGTAGATACGTCGAAATTGCACGCGTCTATTTGACGCGCGTTGAAATGACGCGACACAGAAAAGAAAAACTTAATCGCCCCGCTGTCAGAGCGTAATCTGACGAACGTTGCGGAGCATTGCGTTGCCTTACTGTTTCGCACAACTCTTCCTCCATTTGGGGCAAAATTAATTTTTATGCACCATTCACCTATTCCCGTATAAAAAAAAAGGTAATAATCAAGGGACTTCAACAGTTTCTACAGTCATATTAAAAGTTATAACATGTAAAGGATTAATTGAATTTATTCGAGTGTAGCGAGAAAAAATCGTCGAGCGAAGCCAGAACATTTTTTTAGGATTATTATCCATATTTTATAATGCCCATAAATGTATTTACTAATACACCACAGCATACGAGGTTCAAACGCACATGAATACGTGAGTTGGTTTTTCCAGGCAGGAGAAATGGAAGTGAAAAACCCGCTGTTCCTTGATGACAACACGCCAGTCTCTCCCAACGCTGCAGGATGCAAGGATAATACCACAGGAAACGGCGTCATACCGGCAGCACCCGTCCCATAATTTAATATAACTATCCATATACACCACTTCACATACATATACATATATATTTATGTATATGGCATTCGTCTACATCCGAAACGTCTAAGACAACGCTATTTATTTTTATTTTGTTTCTCTTTTTATTTATTTATTAATATTTTTTTTTTTAATTTGATTATCATATTATTATTACTGGTTTACCAAACATTGTTTTTCTATATAATACCAATACGGTACGTGTGGCGAGTGAATAATTAACTATTAACTTATCCTGTACACATGATACAACATGTTATACAACTCGCGTAAATCAAAAACACTTATTAGTACTACAGTGCGGAATGGATATCAATATGGTAGAAAATCACAATAATATTATCCACTATACGATTGCGTCATTACAACACATATTGAACATGTCAGTTGGTGAATATTTATCCGAGACGGTAGAGGGTTAATTGGCGGATAGCTTTTCCCATCTACTTGTACGTATAATACATTTTTGTATAGTCAGCCATCAATGATAAAATGAACATTATTTATTTTTAGTTAGATGTTAAAATTTCTAAAACAATAAAAATCGATTGACATTTTCTGCTGATATTTTACTATGAAATAACATAAACATCAAGTGACAAGAGAGACGGTTTTGTTTTATCCTGATATTTACACTGTGCATCTATCCCTACTGAAATACATGCTTAGAAAAAATAATCGGGTCATTCGACTACACCCCTTTTAGTGACTTGGATGGAACGTAACCACCACTGCAATATTACACGGAACTAGGGCAAGAACGCGTAATATTTTTCAATAGGCTAAAGGGCTCCGGAAAACGAATAATCTTAATATTTGTTTTTATTATCTTGTCAGTTCCCATAATCATTCGAAACGGTCGTTGTAGAGCGGTGAACGCGGTATCCGGTTCAAAGGAAATCTATTTAATGACGGGGAGAGGGTTGAGGAGGCTGCAACTATAATAAAAATATTTCAAAACTTAATCTAATCTTCGGGTTCCGATTGCGCAAGTACTACTTATATAATTAGAAAACGTTAAAAAATGTTGCGGATAATTTTCAAATCTTTACGATAGACGAAAAATTATTTATTCGTCATAGAATCACCAGTACTATTGCAATTCATTATCATATTCTCTCTTGCCCCTCCTCCCGCTGGTTCACACGCGGAGTAAACACGCTTACGGGACGTAGTATAGAGTCGCGACGGTTATTTCGAACGATACTTTTCCACGTACTGTACTGTCTAATTAGTAGTATCTCATGAGCACGTACGGCTGACTATTAGATTTTTTTTTTACCGCAGGATTATATTTCGTTTCCCCACTCGGTTAAGCTGTATTGAGCATCGAAGTTCGAACGTTATTACCTTTGATTATAAATAATAGTATTCCATTAGTATTTATAACCAATTGGATAACTCGAATAACATTTATTTGTTTCGCCGTTGGAAATCCGAATGTTTATTCACTTTCGTAGGTTTTTTAAAAGGTGTTTTATAGCGATGGAGAGAGAAACCACAAACAGAAAAAAACATTAACCCTTAGCAGTGTTGAAGAAAAGAATATTTTTCTGAATAAACCGATAACGCGCCCTGTAATAACAACCTCGCATATACGAGCTCCGTCCTAGGTTAAATGAAAACACGTATTTATAATTGTCAACAAATCCGTGTCTTTCAATTACGATTTTCTACTACCGCATATTTGTGTCCGAACGAGTTGGTGGTCCGATACAACACGTGTTCACAAGTGAACTTGTGTACAGGTTGAAATGTTTAAAACCGTTCTAACCAGTGGCAGCGCGAAGTTTATTCACCAATGAATCAGTTACGTGTATCGAGTACCCAAGTCAAAGTTTTAGATTCAGAGTAAACATTAAAATCAACGAGTCAAAAAAAAAAAAAAAAAAAATGTATAACTTATATTTTATATCCAACGTGCAAGTTATGTATTGAACTTTTCTGTCGCACAACATTACCTACCCACTTTATTTCAATCATGAAGCAGCTGCTACGATAAAACCCGCATCGTGCCGTCACTGATTCTAACCCTGTATATAGTATATTGTAGTCACACAATTATTATTCGCCTTACACGTGTTATTGTATTACAGTGAATTAAATAATATATTATATTTATATTTATATATCTATATAAATCATATTTTACCCGTTGACAAAGTATTTTTAATGTCTAATTATATTTTGTTATTATAATTATTATTATTTTTATTATTATTATAATATTAATTTATATTATCATTATTATTTATTTTTTTTTTCGTACACCGAATATGTAGTAATTTAATACCGATGTTAATTAATATTAGTCAATTCATTATTGTGTTTGTTTTTAAGTCTTCCAAATTGTACTAGACCACTCGAACTATTCGCTCGATATGTATAATATAGAGATATTATAATATTACGTATACGAGTACACACACACAAATAATGTTCACGTGTTTATGTATTGCGCATTGTACAATTCAGAAAATTCGCGTGTCAACGCGTATCAAAGTGTGTCTCGGAGAGTATTTTCGAGCTACATTTTTGTTCACGTCAACAAAGATGGTGTCACACCGGAGCTCGTGAATATAGACATTACATACATAATCATCGATCGCGAGACGAGTTGTCAAACTATTATATTAGAACGTCGTTCGCTTTTTGAATCAGTTGCGACACCGAGACGGGAACGCACGGCGGAGAAAAAAAAATCTCGCGGTATTCTGTACCGCGACATTTTATATAACATCATTTAATTACTCGTCAGTACGACGAGTCCGTACACTCGACCAATTGGTTATTAAAAACATTAATTTCACGTGTGGACGTTTCGAAACAAATGCAAATTCAACTTTTCGATTTAATGCGTTTTAAGAAACCGTTACTCCACGGTTACATTTTTACGTAAGTATATGGAACTCCAACGAACGATGCATATACTTACAACAGACGTAGACATTTTAAAAATCCCGCTCCGTTCTCATCGGTGTCGTCGAATGTTATCAAAGAGAAGTAATGAAAAATGTATCGCATAACAAAATATGTACACACACACACACACACACACACATTAAATATTCAATCATGTCTGCGGTAAAACGGCTGTTCGGACTGTACCAAACCGATCGAGATAGGCGCAAATAGATTAAATTAAACAATATCACACGAAAAAAGTATTCAGAAGTAAGCGTGTACGACTTAATAATATTATTGTACGGCAATTATTTAAACACGAAATGTCAGTCAATTCAAATATTTTGAAAACCTCATCAATTATTATTATATTATTTACGAAAGCATATTACAAAGCTGTAGCAAGTCAATCCTAAGTAAATTTACTTATAATAATAATCGGCATTATTATTTATATATCATATACTTATTATCAACTGTTGCAGGTATACTGTATGCGATATATAAAATACTATATACTCGTATTAATATCGTACCATAGGCGGTATATTCAATTTAAAACTTGGGAGTGCTAAATTTATTCACCTCAAGGTGTTCTATAGGGAGAAAAATGTTATACAAAATGTTTCAGTTTCACGATTTATTTATAGATTCACCAATTTTTTATACCATAATTAAACAGTATTAATAAACATCATTATTTTTTTATCAACAAGCAATCAAACCAGTTGACAGTAAACCAACACAAAAACCTATATTATTCAAGAAATAATTATTAAAATTTAACTTGATATCGTACACGTATTAAGTATGCATATTTTACGTCCGTGGCATTAGTGCGTTACCAATGCAAACTGGAGTTTATTCGTTTTCATAAACTCAAAATAACCCTCTTTAAGCAAAATTTTTACAGCTAAATAAACTGGGCGAGTTAATTTAGAACATGGGGGTACTAATCGCCCTCTTGCACCCCGTAAGTTTGGCAATAATACCTATATACCGTATTAAATGTATATTATTATTACAATGTAAAAACAAAGTTTGGGATATTTTAACTAAATAAAAATAAAATAAATAAAAAATACCAAACACACTAGTTTATAAACATACACCACATAGGCTTCTATAAATTATTATGTATACCACAGTGGCATATCTATTATAGAATTGGATCTTTCCGCGTTAACGTCACGTCATCTACAAAAATAACGCAACATATTTGAACGCTACACACGTAAGTATAACACTATATTCTTTATTATTATATATTCATTAATATGAAAATAAGAGCATACATAAACAATATAAATATTTATATATAACACCTATACACGCATAGTCAGCATACACGTACCTAAACTCTAAACTTGTATGTATAATTTATTTACTCTGCGCTCTTCGGTGATACCGTCTGCCTGCAATATGCAAGTCCATTATGCATTTCGTATTTTATTATTATTATTATTATCCTGTATAGGTTATATCCACGTTATTAATGTATTCATGACAGGTTTCCCGATGGAAACATTTTCGGAGATATAATAATTAATTAAATTATACAATAATTTTTGTGTTTCAATACGAATAAACGTTTTAATGCGATTCATATTTTCATCCTACAATCGCAGTGACAAATCAATATCGGTATACCAAATAATATCATTATTCTGTGACTAAATGGGTCATCTTATTTATACCGATTTTTTACTATTTATCAGTACTGGATCTAAAAAGGGAGCAAATAGGTACGCTTGTCCCAAGCGCTATTGTTACAAGGGCGCTTTTAAGTTTACGAAAAATTGAAAAAAGCCATGACCCATACTTCTACCTAAGTAAGGGCGTTGCATTTTTATTAGCTCGGGACTTAAATTTTCAAATGAAATCAAAAGTAAGTATGTATATTATGTCGATTAGATAACCATAAGATAATGATATAATGTACAAAATTATTCCATGTTTTATTATTAAATAAAATACAATATTAAATGGTATTTTTTCTCAGCTTTTATTAACTGGGATAAACTGAATGATCGGTCGAAACACCGGCACGAATGGCAAGCCTAATTATTATATTTCACTGTATACGCTTTACTTCTTTTCAAAATATAATAATATTAATATAACTATTGTTTTTGTTTAATAGTATGCTTTTGAATGCTACGGATTGATGAATTTATGTAATCGGGTCCAAACCCGTAAAACATTTCAATTAATAAATAAATAAAAACATACATTAACTATTATCCTATAAACGCGAAACCAATTGGATTTTCAACAATTACAAATTGTTTTATAATATGTTTTTTTTTTTTTGCTATTTCAATGATATGACAAGGAGTACATCGAAAGTTATTTTTCCAAGCCGGTCTGAGGTTGAAAGTTCAAATTTGATACTACGTTTTTCATATATTAGTCATTTACTATGAAATTACCATCTAGGATCATTGATTATAAGAAATTGAATACAATCAATGTCAAAATAAAAAACTGGGGGAAAAAAGTTAATATTCACGGAGATGTGTACGAATGAGAATTATACGTATATCATAAATTGTTATACGCGTACGGCGGCCGGTATCGCATTAGATCTTGTACGCGCGTTGCCGATGTACAGCGATCGTAATAATAAATAATATTATTTTCACACTGCATTTAGAAATCATTAAAACACCAGATGTTTATTAATGGATATCGCGTGTTATCCGATATGTCCCTTTGTCGACAGACCGCTGAGTGTACGCACCACCACCACCACCACCACCACGCGCTCACAAATATGTATAATATTTATGTGTACGATTCGGAAGTGCAGTGTCTTCGATAAACGCTTTTCATACAGTGTACACGTACATTTCGTTCCGTGCGGCTGACGAACGTGCGGCGGCGGAGGAACAGAGCAGGGACGCCGAATATGAAACGATGCGCACGTTTATCGGTGGCGGCGCGACAAAGAGAGGAGGAAAAGAAAATAAGGATAAGTGTGCGCACATTTGTGTACGTGTGTATGATGCGTACACTCGTGTGGTTAATGCGTTTTTTACTCCAGTCCTTTTAGTGGAACTTTATACGCCCTCCCGATGGTGCATATATTTTTATTTTTTCATCCGATAACGTTTATGTTTTGCTATCGAATAGTCGCCGAAGAATTATTATAGTGTATGCATAATATATGTAATATATACATACATCTATACATGTCTTTCGATACGAGTCCGTTTTGCAGAAATTGGAATTCGTATAAATCGAGTGTACAAAAATAGTACTATGGTACACAAATTGTTGGAAGAAAATCATTTCACTGCTCTTTTTTTTAAAAAAAATTTCCAGCAATATTAAGTGCTTTGTCTTTCCTGAACAACTATTCTGGGCAAAAAGGACAAATGTACAGAACATTGTTTCGGCCCGTAGACGCGACAACGACGATGCGTTAGCTACATCATGACTGCTCGAAACTATTAGTTAAAAAATAAAAAAAAATAAGCGAGAAAAATGTTGTAAAGAATGTTTATTGAAAAGAAAACAATTTACCCATGTCAAAATGACAACGGAATTGAAAGTTGAGCCTCAAGCTTACAGTAATTATTTGTGAATGGATGATATAACTTACTTAAAGCTGCTTTCAATTGTCACTCTACTAATTCAGAAACAGGGCACAGTAATGGGAAAATCTGTATTATCACACGAGAAATCAAGCTTAAAATATTCTACCATAATATCAACTAAAACACTAGGAAAAATAATTTCGGAAACTTGTGAGGCGATTTAAAAAGTTCTGGTGAAAGATTTTTATAAGCCAAACACAAGGCTCGGATTTATATAGCTCAGTCAATTCTTCAAGAATAATATTGAGCTTGCGTGACATTTTTTCGTAAATGAAACAACGTCAACGTGAACTGATTCTTTTGAAAACTGAGACCGGAGCCAATTAGAATCACACACGTGCAAATACGCCTGAGAGTAGAACTTTACCTCAGGTAAGATTATAAATTTTCATTAAGTTCAGGTCACCTGTGTA